ACCGCGCTCTGTGCTTTAAAAAAAAAATAAGAAGAGCGATTGTTTTAAATCCTTTTAAAAGTGAATGCCCCCTCCTTAGAAGCACTCAAGGCCAGGCTGGATGGAGCTGTGAACAACTTGGTCTAGAGGGAGGTGTCCCTGCCCACAGCAGAGGAGCTGGAACTAGACTGTCTTAAAGGTCCCTTCCAACTCAAACCATTCTATGATTCATTCTATGAGTAAAGATAATACAGAAAGATGCAAAAAATAAATTCAGGCTAATTTTTTTCTCCATACGGAATAACTTGCACAGTCCTACTAAGCCTAAAGGCGAAGTGCCATACCTCACTCATTAGGTCATCTCCAGTAATAACAGCTATTTTCAAATCAACATCTGCCTTCTCTGCCACCTCCTGAAGAGCAGCTGCACAAGCCAGAGGGTTAATTCCACCCGCATTACTGATGACACGAACACCTTTGCAAGAGGAATGAACCAAGCACAGAAGCATTAACAATCGCATTTCAACAACTCACAGCAAGCTGAAAGACATAATCTTTGCAAGGTATGTGGCATCTAATCAAGTGAATTATTAATGCTAAGTCTTGAGCACCATTAAGTTTGTAAGACGAAAGGAGATCAGATTAAGCCAATTAGGGACTGCTTTCAGAAAAGTGAATTGTTGTAGATAGGCCTTATGATGTGGATGACCCCACCGTTCCTGGAGGAGTTCAAGAAATGTTTAGATGCTGTACTGAGGGATATGGTTTAGTGGGAAATACTGGTGATATGTGGATGGCTGGACTGGATGATCTCAGAGATATTTTCCATCCTTGGTGATTCTATGATTCTACAATTATCTTCTTCCCTTCCTGCAAGAAAGGTGGAAGTGACCACCGAGACAAACATGATGAGGAATGACAGCATCATACCAGTTCCTACAGGTACAACACAGGAGAGCAATCTTATAAAGCACTCATACTTCCCAAACAACGTCACTTTAGAAGAAACATCTATTTCTCTGAATTACGGAGTACATTAGCAAGGTATTGGGTGCTTAGAGGAGATGATTCCTCTCTTCCACCCGAACTCAGTGAGTTGTAGAGATGCAGTCATATAAACAAAAAGAAGTGCATTAGGAAAATAAAAGAATCAGAACTACTTTGGAATGCTGACAGAGATTGTGTTAAACTATGAGATTTAGATATTTTAACAAGAGATTTTCAGGCAACAAACTAAAGCTACAGAAAGAATTGCCCAGAGGCACGCGTACACGTTTCTAACTGCAGGCAAACGTTTCACACGTGCCCTGTGCATCCTCCACCACCAGATGCACACCTCTTGTCGCGCCTTCTGAGGCCACGTCCACAGGGCAGCGCAGCACTGGTGTGACAAACAGGAACACAACCTACACGCAGCTCCCTTCGCAACCGCACTTCACTAAGGTGCCAACACGGAGAGGGGCGTACCTTTCCTGTGAATATCTTTTATGTACGGAGCCATGGCAGCGGAGACGAAATCCGGAGCGTAGCCCAGCACCTGCAACGGCAAACACAGGGCTCGGAAGGGGCACGGCGGAGCCGCAGCCGCAGCCGGCTGTACGCCGCTACTCACGGGAGAGCGGGCTTTGGCAGCCGCCAGCAGCGACAGGGTGATCTCGGAGAGGTAATCGAAGACGAGGAAATCCAGCTTCCCGCCGTACAGCAGCTGCGGCACTGCGAGCAGGGAGGAACGCTCCGTTAGCCCCGCTCCCCGCCGGGCCGCGTGCCGGCCGCTGACGCGGCGCTCCGTGCCGCCCCGCCCGGGCCCGGCTCCCCGTGCCCGCCAGCCCCTCTCCGCCGCCTACCCGCGGCCGCCGTGTCCCCCCAGAAGCCCGAGGCGCAGCCGATGCGCACCGCGGCGCCCGCCGGAGGCTCGCAGCCGCCGCCGCGCCGCCGGCTCCAGCGCTGCGGGCGGAGGACGGACCGGAGCAGCCGCGGCCCGCGGAGCCGCAGCAGCGCGGCGAAGCTCATGGTGGCGGCGGCAGCGCGGGGCTGGCGGGCACCGCCCGTCGTCCGGCTCGGAGCAGCCAGCAGGTGGCGGTGTCTGCCCGCGCGTCCGTCAGAGCAGCCCGCGCCTCCGTTCGGTCGAGAGATGATTGTCTTAAAATCAAGATGAGGAGTCCAACAGATCGTCCTTTCTGCCAACTAACCAACTCCCTGCTCCCCGCTGAATCATAGAATCACCAAGGTTGGAAAAGACCTAAAAGATCATCCAGTCCAACCGCTCACCTATTACCAATAGCTCCCACTAAACCACGCCCCTCAACACCACATCCAGTCTTTCCTTGAACACCCCCAGGGTCGGTGACTCCACCACCTCCCTGGGCAGCCCATTCCAGTGCCTGACCACCCTTTCTGAAAAGTAATACTTCCTCATGTCCAGCTTGAATCTCCCCTGCCGTAGCTTGAAGCCATTCCCTCTGCTCCTATCACTAATGACACGAGAGAAGAGGCCGACCCCCAGCTCACTACACCCTCCCTTCAGGTAGTTACAGAGAGCAATGAGGTCTCCCCTGAGCCTCCTCTTCTCCAGTCTGAACAATCCCAGCTCCTTCAGCCTTTCCTCATAAGGCCTGTGCTCCAGACCCTCACCAGCTTTGTTGCCCTCCTCTGAACCTGCTCCAGGGCCTCAATGTCTTTCTTGCAGTGAGGGGACCCAAAACTGGACACAGCACTCGAGGTGCGGCCTCACCAGAGCTGAGTACAGGGAAGCAGGTCCCAAACATGACTGTCCTTGCTACGTGTTGCTGGGCCCCCTCCAGTTTCAACTGGAGTTTTTGGCGCATTGGGACGAGAAGCGCAAGGCACAGGTGAACGGCAGACACACCTGTGCTGTTCTCTGTTAGTTCTGTGCTGCCTTTCTTGCAGTGCCAGCACAAGATTTGGGGTTTGATACTACTGAGCACTGATACAGTGCTTACATAGAGTTCCCAGCCAGATTCACTCTGAGATCATCACTTTATGCACGAGGTTAGGGTTATTTTGATGAAAGCAGAGGCAAGTCATTCCAACGATCTTTTCTATAGAAGACATGGGAAGCAATTATGTCCCGTAACGTTGAGGTTTTGGCTTCTCCGTGGCTTCACAAATTGTAGAGAGAGTGCGTTGCTCTTTGAGGACGTCAGGCGGCACTGTGTGATTTGGAGTGAAGCTGACAGCAGCGAGCCTGTGTGCAATGCGAACGCAGGTGCAAGTAAAAACTTCCTGCTGGATAAGGGAGGAAGCTTAATACTAGTAAATGCCATTGTTCCATGGTGTGGTAAGGACCTACATCCACTTGCCCTATTGCTTAATGCACAGCTTGTAAGATGCATTTTGCTCTCATAAACTGTGAGAAGGAAAATAACTTGGCTTTAGTTTTTGTGTTGAAGAAAGATGAGGGCTCTGATTTAAAAAAAATTATTATTTTCCTGATCGTAGTTCAAACATTCATTGTTTCATTCAGCGACTCTAAATGCTTGTATTTACTTCTACTGTGCGAGTGCTGGTAATGGCTCAGATTTAGGCCTGTGCTTCCCTCTTTTGTGCATCGGCGTGAGGCACAGGTGATGAGTAAAGGAAACGTGAGATTAATCCTTCTACCATCATCCTGAATTACCAGCAAGATGTCCGGGTAGACAATGCAGACTACATCGTTCCAAGGAAATAAGCTTTTTGTAGGACTTTTCTGGCAGTCAAGTTGCTGCTGCCTGCAAGAAAGTACAAGCAATGCATTTCACAGGCTACATTTTTATTGTGAAACCTATTACATTTTTGCTATGTGTCTGTTAATGCCACTGCAAATAAGTTCCTCTCCAAAACAAAGCTATCAGCACATACCAACAAATTTTTTTGGTTTATAAAGGAGGTTCTATTTAATTGATTGAGGCTCTGTCCTCTCAACAAATTACAAAATATTCCGCAAATATTTGAATTTATTACTTATCTTATTCCCACAAATTAGTGGATGCTTTTGTTTAACAAATGGAGTTCACTGCTCTTCCCTTCAAGGTAAAGCATACATTGCAATCTCTCTTTTGCAGATAGTCTAAAAGCCAACCTTTTCTAAGGTATCAACAGCTGAAAATGGTCTTTGTAAATCAGTAAAGGGAGAGAATTTGCAGTGTTGCACCTAATAACCCTTACTTAAGGTACAGGCTGCTCAGGGCCCAGTAATGATTTTTAACTGATCCCAGCTTATGGGTTAGGTGCTTTCAGTATGTTTGCTGGATTTTTAGTGTGTTGAAATGTAACATCCTGTGCTCTGGAACTTGGAAAAACTTAAAAGCAAGAAAACACAAGTATCATTCCTATATCCATGGTGTGCATGCAGCAAAATATCTTCTGCACTCTTTCCAAAGCACTCCAAATGAAACCCTACAGTGAACGATGTGGATTTTATATTTTTCCTTGCTCAGCTTTCTAGGGAACAGAACTCTTTGCAGCCTCATTTGAGCAGAAGCAAAGCCCATGCTATGTGCTGATTTCATAAGCAAAAAGAAATAAGAGCTTCTCCCATGCAGAGCAACTGGCAGCTGATATTTACGGACCCAAATCCTCTAGGCATTTTTCTTCAGGAAGGCTGAAAGAGTACCTGATGCACAGAGTGGACTGTTGAACTGGCAAAAAATGTTGCCATTTGCCTTTTGCCTAAGACTCAAATATTGAAAGAGAAAGATGACTTACTGAACCTTCTCCTTTTTTTTCATTTTCACTTTGCAATTTGTAAAGCAGTGTGTTTCTTAACATACCAGAAGCATAACATCAGCATAGACAGCTTTTTAACCATCTCTGTTTCTCATCCTAATTATCACTTGCTCATCGGTTGACCTAGCAAAGAAGCTTATTAGTAGGAGAAGCAGGGCAGTGTATATTTGTGATAGGTTGCAAGGCAAAATAGGCTTTTTCTTTTCCGATATTTACTTTTTGAAGTTTTTAACATTTATTTTTTGTATTTATTTTTTACATTCAAGTTTCCATCAAAACAATAACAAAAATGTACTGAATCACTGTAGCGTTTCTGAAATTTTATGAACTGAAATTTCGCATTAGATTCTTAAGTCATGTATGAGTCATACATTTGGAAAACTGTTATTTTCCGAAGGCAGTCATAAGAATAATTTGCTATTCAGGCACTGGTTTACAAATACGTGCATATTTGTTCTGTACTTCTGTGATTTACTGTGAGTAATGGGAAGGCACTGGATAGGTTTCCAGTGTCTGTTTGACAAAAATGCTGATCAAATACTAGTTGAATTGAACAAGACACTTTTAAACAAATACTGATTTGATTTTACCATCCACTCAAAAAATAAACTGTGAGGAAAAGTTAAACTGAAATTGAGAACTCTTTATTCTGCCTGTATGGCATTAGTCATTCCTCATTTGTTAGCAAATCAGCAAACAAGCTTACCGGAAAGAAAAAAAAAAGCTGAACAGAAGAACAACAGAGCTTACATGTATTGGGCAGACTGAAGGGTAAAATCAGGTCTCTAACACATTTGTTTTGTAAATAGGTCAGCTTTATGCAGCCGGAATTAAAACAGAAAATGGTACGAAAGGGAGGAGAAGACTACCCTGATGTTTCACATTAGAGCACGTACTGTTTTTGATTTAATTTTCATTAAATCAAGTGGGAAAAAATCATTTCAAAACCATGCAATGTGAATTAATGGAAGGAAAGAGAAGGGAGCAAAGATATGAAAGGATTCATTATTCAAGGCTACAACACGACTGTGTAATCAGTAAAACAAACAAAAACATTGTGAGGTTTAAATATTTACATCTTCTGCTAAGAAGTACAAGAAGTTACAACCAAAAATACAACGGGACAACTCTTGTAAGTGCAGCGTAATGATATTTGGTAATCACTAAGTAAATTGTTTAGGTTGATTCCTTCATGAATGTAGATCTCTGTGATAATTTTATGTAAGGCAAAAACCACACTGAAAATTCATAATGATCCTCCTTTTTTTCGGACCCAATTAGCCAACTATCTACAGCAATTAAGCTTTGTTCTTGTTATATAAGATATTGGTAACATTACCAAAATTATTGTATTATACATTGAAATTATTTCATCGCAGCCATTGTCACGTTTTAATCCTAAAATGTTAAGAACTTTTTCTCAAAATTAACTAATATAGCTCTATGTCAGACTTGACTGTTGTCATCTCTTCTGAATCCTGAAATTCTTATCCAGGGATGCTAGACAAACTTTACCATGTTCCATGATGAAGTATTCCCTTGAGAGAGTTTCAGATCTACATGGACTGTTTTTAGCGACAAAGGAGAAGAGTATGCTCTTTACTCTGTGTAGAACAGGGGATACCTGAGTTGGATTCTGTAGTGCACATATTCTGTCCCAAACACCATGTACCTATCTGCCCTGGAGGGGACATCTGTGATTTAACCTGACCCAGTTTCTGGCAGAGTACAAGCACAAACTCGGAGCCAGTCACCATCCCTGGAGACAGCATTTTTATCTGCAAACGTTCTTTCCCAATTTGTGGTGTTTGGAAAGGAAAGCTGTTTGACCCAGGGATGGCAGGTCTACCTCCCAGCAGGGCAGCTTTGATCCAAGTCATTCATACAGATTTCCTAAATTAGAGGGCAGAGAAGATTCACTGCCTGTAAGGGAGACCATGGGCGGTTTCTCCATATATTCCACTGCCTGACATGGCCTTATAACTCTCTCTGCCTGAGTTTTGTCATCTGCCAAATAGGAAGAATGATGTCGAATGCCTTTGAAAAGTATGTTCTGCCTTGTGGAAGGAAGGTACTATACAACCATGAAATATTCTTAATATTTAACTTTAGGTTATGGATATGTGTTTGCATGTAATTAGGTAGTTACCTCTGCTTTTCCCTATGCAAGTTAAGTAACTACTCTGTCTGCCCCCACCCAAGAACCATGTGTGCATTTGCTTATGCTTCTGTTACAGCTTCTGCACACCTTGTTTCTCCTTTCTGCCTCCTTTAAGACCCAGCTGGAACAGAGATAAAGCAGATAAGTGGAAAGCAAGTTCTGCAAATGGGAGGAGTAAGAGATGCGTGCAAATTCTGGGAATCCACCTCATCCCCTACTCCACCTCTTCCCGCTACCTCACCGTGCCCGCCCCCATCTCCAACTGCTCCCTTAAACCTCTGCTGCCCTGCTCTGGGGCCAAATCTGGCAGCCCATAAAGGTGCTGCCTCGGCTGCTGGGGAGAACACTTTCAGCTGCTGACAGAACAGAAGGCACCCAGTGAGATGGGGCCGAAGCTGGGCAGATGGGTGCCTCTGGGGCATCTCCTCTCCCTGCTCTTCTCCACCAGCATGGCGGTAAGTGAAGGTGCAGAGTGTTAGAAAACGTGTCAGTGCTTAGAATGCTTCTGGAGAAAACTCACTGAAAGTGGTCTTGTTTCTTCTCTTCAGTACATTGCTACCAGAGAAAACTGCTGCATATTAGATGAGCGATTTGTAAGTATCAGATCCATTTTCTTTTACATTAAGAGTCTAGTCAAAGCTGCCACACCATTTAGTAACTGCCTTTGTAGCTTTATTAGATCCTCATCATTAGCTTCAAAGCTCATTAAATGCACTATGCTTAAACCTGTTCTTGACTGGTATCAATAAACATCTGCTGAGAAAGGCAGCTATGCTGCTGATAAAAGTATATTAAAGACACTACAAGTAACACCATGTACAAATTTCTTTCTATGTGTGGATATATATGCAGTGTGAAACTAAAACTTCTCTATAAATTCTGTAGTACTGCAGACAGAGGCAAATGTCTATGCTTTTTTTTCCCTGCAATCATTTGTACAAACTGTTCTCCTGCCCAAATATTCTGTTGTCCATTTTTGCTACTGAAACCATTACCTATATTATTTTTTTCTCTTTAGGGTAGCTACTGCCCCACAACTTGTGGCATTGCAGATTTCTTTAACAAATACCGTCTCACTACGGATGGTGAACTGCTAGAAATTGAGACACTTCTGCAGCAAGCTGCTAACTCCACAGGCTCAATAGAATATTTGATTCAACACATCAAAACCATCTATCCTTCAGAGAAGCAGACACTACCACGTGAGAATATAAAAATAGCTACATAATTGAACAAATTGTCACTGTCTTGTTTTTCTAATTTGCCGAACTGCAATAATTTCATACCTTTGTCTATTCTTCAGAATCAATTGAGAGTTTGACTCAAAAGTCCAAGAAAATAATCGAAGAAATTATCAGATATGAAAACACTATTTTGGCTCATGAGAATACTATACAGTAGGTATCTTTCACCTTTCAAAGCACTTTATAATCCAAATCATTTTCTTTCTCTTCTTTTACTAACAACAGTTATGGCTTCCTCAGAAAGGGTTTTTGTGCTTATGCTGACCGTTAGACACTGTCATTAGAAGTTCCCTTACAAGACACATAGCAATCATGAGGATCTGAGAGTGCATTTTCAGTTTATCAGTGTTATCCATTAATTGTGCAAATAAAAGATAGGAATATCAGGAAGCCTGGCAATGGTTCTGTTTGTGTTTCTTTTGCTGCGTTAGACATAGATCATTTCTTTTTTCATGAGCTATGGAGATTTTATTGATATGCATTTGTAGAGCATATGAAATATTTGTACAGTCATTTACTCTGACTAATTTTGCTGCATATATCTGAGAAAATCAGCTCAGTTCCATAGGTATAATTCATAAGTTATTATAAACTCAGTGGTGGTCTTCAGTAAACCAACACTGAAAATAGAATTGAAAACATCGTTAACTTTTCTAAAATTTTAGGGTGTTTTTATTAACCTGAAAGTAGCAAAATCTCTTTTCTATAGCATTATATCAAATACGATTTAAACATTCTGATCATTGAGGCAGTTTATATAATTTACGTAAAATTCCATACTTACAGAAGAAAAATTTATAATTTGCTAAGGAGAGCAAAGGAAAACATTCCACAGCATTACAATCATGCATTAATTTGTGGTTTGAGTTTTGCTGATTAGAGGCAAGTCAGGTTTTACATGAGATTAAGCATGTACATTCCCATTTTGGCTGTTTTTCTCAACCTTACATACCAGTGCCAAGAGAAGCAACCCTTTTATAGGGACTAAGTAGCAGCATGCTATCTCAGTCAGGCATATGTGCAAGTAAACATGTATTACTGACAGTAAGAAGCAGCTGAAGAAACATGCCATTTTTATGTCTCTCTCTCCAGACAGTTGACAGATATGCATATAATGAACAGCAACAAGATCACACAGCTGAAACAAAAGATTTCTCAACTCGAGTCACACTGCCAGGAACCATGCAGAGATACTGCTGAAATACAGGAGACAACTGGAAGAGGTGCACAAAATGCTTCTTGTATGGTGGAGGTCTGATTCAGTTTCAAGTACTGCCAGTTGGCATTGCAGTGATGAGGTTCTTGTGATCTTAAGGGCCATAGACTTGTGCAAAGATGTAAGACTGCAAGTTTTGGAATCAATGCTTGGATCAATTGTAGGAAGATAACTTACAATCGCATTTCTGCTGATTCACCCAGAAAATTTTAACTCCAGAAGTGCTGTTTTTGTTGTATAAATTGGTGCTATGACTGTATTCTACACGTAAGCTGCTTAAATTCCATGTGAAATGAATGTTCTCGTTTTCATAGAATCATAGAATGACTCTATAGAATCATAGAATGATTTTACACAGGTCCTGTGAACTTCAGAATTTTTTTTATGGCAATGACATTTAAACATTTAGACTAAACAGCAAACTTTGAAACAATATTTGAATTAACTGAACTTCTTACATTGAGAAAGTTACCATATCAAATGTGAGGATAGAATGTGAGGATAGAACTATAGCTAAATTAGTAACAATGCTTTGAATATCTTTACTTCAGATTGTCAAGATATTGCAAATAAAGGTGCCAGAAAAAGTGGTCTTTACTTCATCAAGCCTCAAAAAGCTAAGCAGTCTTTCCTAGTCTACTGTGAGATTGACACGTATGGCAACGGCTGGACAGTATTACAGAGGGTATGTCACTAGGGTATTATTATCATTAGGAAGTGTATTGTTATCAACTGCTGTTTTCATTTGCTTACCTGAAGTACATAGCATGGGGGTTTTTTTTGAGAGTTGGTTTGTTGTTGTTTTACAGAGATTGGATGGGAGTGAGGACTTCCGGAGAAATTGGGTTCAATACAAGGAAGGCTTTGGACATCTGTCTCCAGATGACACCACAGAATTTTGGCTGGGCAACGAAAAGATTCATTTAATAACTACGCAGTCCACTCTGCCATATGCTTTGCGAATAGAACTGGAGGACTGGTCTGGCAAAAAAGGGTATTTGCTCATGAAACTTCTGACAATGGCATTTTAAACCTATTGCTTTTCCAGTTCTGTTAGTTTGTACAGATTTTAAAAAAGCGTGGCACTATTAGATATGTCAAGGTGCATAAGATACTGCATGGGCTCCTGAACTTATAACTGTGACAGCAGCCCTCACGTGTACACGTTTGAAGGCCACATGCCAGAAGCCCTCGTTGATTTGGCAGAATAAATCTATTTCTTCTCTTCAAAGTTTATTCAGTTATGTCTTCCGTTCTCCAGGAGGGCTTACTGCCTTTCCTATTTCTTGAGATACCTATTTCTTCCTTCCGCCAAGAACTTCCTCATGACTTGAGTAAGCCTAAACAGTAGCAACTTGGTAGATAAACACATATATGGGTGTGTAATGTAAGTCTTCTGTGCATTATTAAAGAGCAGTAAAGTCAAAAAACACATCTAATGGTGGATGACAAAAATTGATTGGATGTCTGTCATTGAACCAATTCACACAATTGTTTAAAAATAACCCTTTTACAAAATTACATGGTAGGATGGCTTAAATCCCTTTTCTAACCTCTATGTATATTTCATTTGTGCACATAGTAGGAATGCAGCATGCTTATCACTATTATCCTCTGTTAATAGCACTGCTGACTATGCGGTATTCAAAGTGGGAACTGAAGAAGACAAGTACAGACTGACCTATGCGTACTTTATTGGTGGCGAGGCTGGAGATGCCTTTGACGGCTTTAATTTTGGAGATGATCCAAGTGACAAATCCTTTACCTACCATAATGGCATGCGCTTCAGCACCTACGATAATGACAATGACAACTTTGAGGGCAACTGTGCTGAGCAAGATGGATCTGGATGGTGGATGAATAGATGCCATGCTGGTCACCTCAATGGACAGTATTATATAGGTGAAATATCTTCTAAATACCTATTTTCACATGGACAAAAGTAACAAAGGACAACACATTTCGATGACAAAGGAAAATGGGTCACTTTCATTGAGAATATTTTGCCATCTGGTTTTTCCAAAGCTGATGTAGACCATTCTTTTCAATAATTGTTTATATTAACACCGATTTGTGGCAGTTCTCCAGCCCAAAATGGAATCCTTGGCCCTGATAGAAGCAAAGAGAGGGAGAGGGGCATTGTGTGCAGTGTGTTAGTGTGCCCAGGGATGTCACAGAGGTGTTGGTACGACGACTATGTATGGGATGGGCACATTAATCATTTCGAAGCAACTAAATATTTTGCTCAAATTGCTACTTTTAGGTGGTGTGTACTCATCTAGAGGTGGTTCAGATTCATATGACAATGGCATTATATGGGCAACATGGCGTGACCGATGGTACTCCATGAAGAAAACTACAATGAAAATCATCCCATTCAACAGACTCTCAATAGATGGACAGCAGTACTCAGGCGGCACCAAGCAGGTTTGACCACTGAACAGAGGAGATATTTAAAATAACAACAAAATATGGTTATAATTGCAAGTACAGAGCATGGACAGCTGAAATGCCTACTGCATCTTGGAGGCATCAGCTTTGTTTACCGTTTCATCACAGAAATATTTGCGTTTTGATTTTAGTATACCTTCCTCTTCACTGTTTCTTTTAACAAATAGATAAGTAGATAGTCCCAGAACTACAAATAATTCCTTGTCTTGAAGACATTTTTAATTTTCAATTTCAATTTAATTTTCACATTTTCAATTTTAATTGCTGAACTTTAAATTTCCAACTAGTATAAATATGTATGAACACTATCAACATATCATTATTAAGCCTTATGTACTTCATCTTTCTTTAGAAAAACATTCAAATACTGTCTTTTTTGTTTGTTTGTTTGTTTTCTATTGCAGGTTGGAGACTCATAAAGGGACAATTTAATAAAGACTGACCTGAATGGAGAAAATAAATCTTTTATTTGTGCGACACTGTACTTATCTCACCTTCCACAGTTTGGACATCAGCGTTGTGAAATGCCACTGCCTATAAAATGCGCAATGGTTTTCTTTGAGCACTGCTTACCTCCTTACATGGTTATTTTTTCTGTACACATTCCCAATAAATTTTTGATTATTACAAAAAAGCTGAGCTTGCTATTTGTGTTCTACTATTGGCCAAACACAACGCAGTAAGCACTGTGACTGCTAGAAGGGTACTCTGATCGAGTCTTGTCCAGTTATTCCTTCTCTTTATTTAGAAGTGTGTGTTGGAGCTATTTCTCCATAAAACATGGCTAGCTTTCAACAGTCTTCACTTTGTTTTCTGATGAAATTGTCAATTTGTGACACAGATCAAAGTACACTTGAAAGGGACCTAGATTACTGCTGGAGCCACTTGAGCAAACATAGCGCAGGTTAGGAAGTGTACTACCAATGACAAAGGTGTTTTACTCCAAAGCATGCATATTAACAGGTTTCTCAAATATTATTCAAAATAAATGGTTTTCTGTATAGCACATAGTACTACACTGCACAAGGATTATAACTGAATGCCACATTCGTAAACTTATTAAATTATTCTAATGTTTTTAGCATCATTTCAGACCAAAAATAATAAAATTTTTAATATTAATTACTTATGTTTTAGTTCCATTTGCTTTTACTATGTGTGGTAATAATTTTCCAGTGACCCACACTGACAGCACAGATATATAAAAGCAGGGTTTGAGAAGCTGTCTGAATGTAATCACTCAGAATGCTTGATGAATATTTTTAGGTAAGGAGTTTAGAAAATCATATTACTTTTGTGGATACATTTATCAACAAAATATACAGAGAGAGCTAGAATAGAAATATATTTATCTATGTCAAGCTGATACATAAAGAAATGCACCCTAGTCTTTATTTTTAGCTACCGTTGAATTGCCAGGAGTTCACCTGGCATTTCTGAATAGCACATTTAAATGGCTTTTTTAGAGACAGGGAAACATTACACAAATGAGATGGACCATTTATCAAAGGCCATTTATGCCACCTTGACACTTTTCCTGTTGAGGTGAGCAGGTCTGTGTCTAGTTTGTAGCTGAGCTGCTTTGCCTGAGTCTGAATGTCCACAGCATGACAAGCTGCTATCCACTTATTGCTTATACTGAAGTTGTTTTGAGTGGCCAAGCCACTTTCACTTTCTGTTTTCAGTTTAACTCAATCTATGATACGACTTTAAAAGTTGTTTTATTTATATATGTACAACATGGAATTAAGAAGTATTCCTTTCCACTCTGTTACTTTGATCTCTGAATCCGCATTTCTCTAGGTCTGAACTGCTCTCCCACTCTTTTTGTTGCAATGCCTTATTTTATGAGAATATGCTGTAAAAAAAAATAATATTCCACTGGTGTGACCTGGCATTTTATGGATTGCTAATCAGAACTAAGACTAACTCATTCTTTCATTTGGTTTGCTGATTGGTGTTCTGAGGTCTCACAAATAATTTTGAGCCTCTTTGGAAAGGACCAGAGATTTGGAGGGTTAGAGCTGCTGAATCCAAGAAGCCTGATCGCTCACAGAAGTCCTGTGGCAGGACTCATGGCAGGATCTGCCAGACACTGCAGGTATATTCTGTGGGCCTTGAAAGAACACTGTCATGCATTTTGGAGATCTTTTCTACTGCTTCCAGCCATGGAACTATCAGATATGGACCTGAACAGATATTCTGTTTCTTCTGTCTCCTAGAAAGAAATTAATACTCTCACATTTTATAGAATCATAGAATCACAAGGTTGGAAACAACCTATAAGATCATCTAGTCCAACCGTCTTCACATCACCACTGCTACCACAAGCTACTAAACCAGGGGTAGGGTTGTTTGTTTCTGTTTGTTTCTTTGCTTTACAAGTAAATACATTGTGTTTTGACTTAATGCCTCCGTTTTGTATTCTGAAAGGTCTTATTTCTCTTTCCTAAATCAGACTAAAATCATACAAGGCCTTCAGAGCATAGCCTACATAATATAGCATAGCAATTTATATTTAGGCAACTCTGTCCCCGAGTTCATGAGATTTCATCACAGGACTTGGCTGCTATCCACTGCCTTTCTTTCATACCCTATGCTTGCTGTCACCCTTCCTATTCCTCAAAGACCATTGTAGCACAAAGCATAGGAATTGGGAGCAGAAATATTTTCCTTTCAGCCCTGTTGGAGCGAGGATTGGACCAAACGGATCCAAAGGTCCCTTCCTACCTCATCCATTCTGGGGTTCTGTCATTCGGGCTCACATTCTGGGCATACAAATCGACCCTAAATCCCAGACTCCCCAGCGATCGCTGTGGCAACCTGCCAAGAGTAGGGCAGCCAAGCAGTAAACGGCGCTTCTGTCCTTTGATCGTGAATTAAAGGTAAATCCAAAGTTTATCTAGCTCTTAGCCTGTAACCTTTACAAACAAACACACAGAGAAGTGACTGGATGATTGCAACAAGAAAGCAAAGGTACAGGCTGAAGGTCAGGCACAGGTTCAGCCATCAACTGGAAAGTCTGAGAAGCTCCTCCTCTACCTCAGCTTCACACAGCAATCCCCTTCACGTGAAGCAGGAAAGCCCTCTTGGTAAACCTAATCATTATGGTCAGTTACCAGCTTTTTCCAGTCCCCTAGGCCTGGTGACTGAGTTTTACTTGGACCAGAGCTTAAGTTTTCTCATGATTGAAGGTCATCAGAGGACCCTCTCAGCCACCCAGGCATCCTAGAGCTGGCTGCTCCAGAGCCCCAGTGTTAAACAGAGAGCTACAGCTGATGTCAGTGGTATCTGCACATACAGCGTACTCTGAAGACTCAGAGTATCAAAATGGATCCCAACAACTACAAACTACTTCAGAACTTAGCCTTCTCACCAGGTTTCTGCAGCTGTGAAACAGGTAAAGTAGTGCTCCATGAATAAGCAGTAGGCATTGGAATAATTGAGCACAGTAGGAAAATCTTTGACAATTTTAAACAGTTGGCAGAAAAGAATGCACAGCTTTCAGCAGCACTGTCCACATTAAATGCAATCAGGAAGAGGACGTGTTTGGCAGGAGCACCACAGGTGACAGTACAGTACAGCAGATGATGTGACTGTACACACAAGGAGGGCACTCAGGGATTGTATGTGCAGTTCTTCTGCTCCTGAGCACCAAAGGCATAAGGTGTGATCTTCAAGCAGAGACTGTGATGTCAACTGCATAAGCCAAATTATGCAAATGGGAGACTGTCTGTGGACACCAGCAGATATTGCATATAGTAGCTCATTTAACCTTGTTATTTTAAATAACCCATCACAATTCTGCAAGTCTTCCTCTCATTGTGATCTTTTAGTCCTTCAAGCATTTTCTTGTTTGAGCTTACAAGGAAAAGCAGAGAAACAGAGAGTAAGAAAAAAACCCATCATGCTGCTGCAATGGATCCGAAGCTACAAACAGCTATTTTGAATTTAAAATGTTGTATAATACCAGAGCCAAGCTTAAATATGGCTCTATAGAATGGAGTATGATGAGCAACCTGCAGATGATGGACAGTTTTGTGAATACCATGCCATTAAAAAAAACCAGGAGAATGTTTTGTTCCTTCAACTGATTTGCTTGAGCCCAAGTCTTCCTCCTAATTTCTGCTCACTGTGGGCAGCATCTTTAAGCATTTGACAGTCATGTACAATATTCCCCAATAACGCAATGTCTTGTTATCTCATAGTAGCAATGCATTTTAATCAATTCCTATACACAAACCATAGCAATTTTAAAAGTACCTGTTTTCTGCCCCTTAAAAAGAGCTAGTAATTCTCAACTTTTTTTTTTTTTTTTTTTTTTTTTTTTTTTACTGGGACATTTTCAAATACCACTTGTTGTGCTCTTCATAAATATGTGTACAACACACACAGTTCATTTCAATTAACAATAAGTCTGTGTAAGAAAGAAGGTGACTCTAAACAAGGTGTGCATTATACAAACACTGGCAGTGTCCAGCTGTAGAAATATACAAACTGAGCTCTGCAGTCCTCAGGGATTCATTTTGGTTGACAAACCATCGTAAACTTTCTTACACTGGTACTTGCTTTAGAAGGCCCAATGGTTTTCATGAGGATGGAGTTGCACAGAAAGGGCAAAGCAACAACTTTCAAATATCAACTGCTTGATTGTATTAGCTAAATTCCTGCCACACACAGCATGTATTTTCCATCAGTGAAGTATTGCTGGCTCCTGCTAGGACCTGCATACACCCTAGATGAACAACCATTTACAAGAAATCAAGCTTGAAGCAGATATATTATTCTTTTTCTTTCCTGGAATACACGGTGCTGCCCTCATGGTGGTGCTGTACAAATTTATCTGGAGTAAATAACACCTGAAACTTGTGCAAGAGGCCTTAGGTAATCAACTCAGGACATCTGGCATGTTTTGTCTCCAAACAGAAGGGAGAATAATGATTAATCTCAGCTCTTCAGCAAGGTTTAAATTGCATCAAAAGACCAGAGGAGAGCATCCTCTCATCCACGTTCTGCTCACTCTTCTTCGAAGATGATACCATTGAGGATCCTCTGTGTGTTGCTCTGCCTCAACTTAGCTTGGGTATGAGTTTGCTTACTTTATTCTTTCCATACCTCTTTGATTTGAAGAGTAAATGTTTATTTAATCTGCGTTAATCAGATCTATGTTTGCTGTCACCTATCTCGTCAAATTCAATGCACGCACATACACACAAGCTTGCTGTGACTACTTCACTGCTAGACTTTCACAGCAGCAGCTCTTGAATATCCAGTTCTGTTTTGCTTAATTCAGTCTTGTTGAACCTGCCTGCCTTCAGAAAAGCAAAGCAAGTAAATTAACATGAATTCATAGATTCACAGGTGCTGCTTCAAGCCTTAAAGCTGGCTGAATTGGACGCTAGAGGCTCCAGCCAGTCACGAATTTTCAATTTCACAAATTTTAGGATGAATTATACTTTGTTTTCTACTGTCTCAGTTTACTTCAACTGCATTTTCCAGCTACAAATGATGCACAATGACTTTATTATAAAACACCAATTTAAAAACAGCGATTCTCGTGGCCGCAATAACAGATTAAACTAAAATCTAAGCAAGATTACAATAGATTATAATCTACTATATTATAATATATAATGTAATATTTATTACCTAAAATAAGCAAGAAGCAATTTTTAGATAAGGAAAGTG